TAGCCAGAAAACTCCGAGTAGGGACTAGATCTCATCCAGATGTTGGCAATTTAAAAAATTTGCAGTAAAAAACCTTTAAGACGTTAAGGTGGTAAATCTCAATCATGCCTTCACTGAAGTATTAAGCAAAAACTCTCAAAAACACCAGTACCAGGACATTATGCCAGAAAAATTAAATAATAAAACTCTATGTGAGACCTAGGGATTTTTTTTTTAATTCCTCAGGTGATTATAACATGCAGCCAGGACTGAGAACCACACGCTCTAAACTCTTACATGGTTGGTATTTGAAGAATGATCATCTAGTCTATAATATTCATACAAGGCATTTGGAGAATGATTTAATCCACCCATAGCTAAATAAAAGTGATACATAATTAATTAGGTTATAATCAGGTTTGAGAGTTTGTGAGAAAAATTGCTCAACTCTATTTCTTAAGTCCAAGACCAGTGAAGCACAGGTCTTTTGTGGCAATGATGGTAACAGTGATAGATTAAAATTGACAGCTTGCTGTGCCTAATGTGGAAATGACCAATTATCCTCTCTCTAAGAATCTTGTAAAGATTTAATAATGCTAATAATATAACAAATTAATTCACATCTCACAGGTTTGCCTGTGGTTTGATCTTTGCACTGTAATGAATGATGTTTAAAAACACATATCTGTATAATAATACATATCATAGATAGTGCTCAGTGGGTAAGTCATTGGCTTCCCCTTGCTTTCAGGGTAAAGACCAAAATGCTTAGTTTGGTCCACCACACACAAGGGGCTCCCCTGCCTTCCCCTTGACTGCTTCTTTAGCCTGTCTCTCTTCTGTTCAGGGAGACCTGGCCATTCTTCAGATTTATAAAGGTCCTATGTTTGTTACTATCCCAGGCTTTCTCTCTGAAGTGTTCATTCTCTGCCACTGGCCTACTTAACTCCTTTGTGTCCATTAGATCTCAGCGGTACTCAGGGAGGCCATCCCAACTCCCTTACTTTTTCTCTCCCCATCCAAACATCTTCCTTTGGCACATGTAGTCATAAAACCCTGGTCCCTTTCTTCAAAGTGCTTGTATCTGATTCTAGTTAATCATTTAATCACATTGGTGTTTATCTCTTTACTGTAAAGGTGAGTATAAAGTTCTCTCTCCCCTTAGTCAATTGGGGCAGCAGTTACATTTGCATTTCTCATTTTAAATCCCAGGGCTCGGTACTCCTAAAAATTTGTAAGATATAAATCAAACCTCACTTACTGGAACTCACTCTTCTCTTTTTTTTTTAGTTGAAGTACAGTCAATTACAGTGTGTCAATCTCTGGTGTACAGCACAATGTCCCAATCAAACATATACATACATATATTCATTTTCATATTTTTTCCATTAAAGGTTATTATAAGATACTGAACATAGTTCTCTGTGCTATACAAAAGAAACTTCAAAAAAAATTCTATTCTTATGTATAGTGGCCAACATTTGTATATCTCTAACTCCGAAGTTTATCCCCTCCCACCTGCTTTCCCCAGT